GTTTATGTAAATTTTATAAATTGTACATATTTAATTTTTGTTAATACATCTTTTTTTAATTTTAAAAATATTATATTGCTTGATGCTTTTTTTTAGTATATAGTGATATTCAAGTTATTTGGAATCAACGTATTTGCTTGAGATGAAGATACTTCTACCAAAAATTCGGCATTTTCCACGAAACACGTTACATACTTATACTACATTATAACATTTTATATTTTTCATATAAACCATAACACGTAAAATTCAATTTTAGATGTTCAAGTCTCTTGATGAATTGTTTGAGTGGACACAAAACAAAGCACGCTCTCTAGCATATGTAATTGTCAACAAAAGATCAAAGGCATATGCCAACGACTTGGTGTATAAAGTCGTACTTATGTGTGATCGTGGGGGTGAATATAAAGGTACTAACACGGTTAGAGCATCTCGAACTAAAAAGACTAATTGTAAATTTGAAGTGGAAGGAAAGTATTCAAAAGAACATAATAAATGGACGTTAAGGGTGATATGCAATGATCATAATCACCCACCTACACAATATATGGAGGGTCATCCGTTCGTAAGACAGTGATCTGTAGACAAGACTCGATTGGTGGAAGATCTAACAAGAAAGAACTTGCCGCCACGTGATATTCTATCAACCTTGAAGGGGCAAAACGAAAATAATGTATCGCTATTTCAAATGATATATAACGCACAACAAAAGATTCGTAGGCAAGAGCAAGCAGGCAAAACTCCAATGCAGGTTCTTATGTCCATTTTGCACACCAACAATTATTTATATGAGTTTACTACAAACGATTCAAATGAGTTGGAGAATCTGTTTTCGTTCATCCAACGTCTTGGAAGATATGGTGTGCATTTCCACATGTGTTGATGATAGATGCCACTTTCAAAACAACAAATATAATAAGCTGCTTGTAGAAATTGTTGGTGTGACCTCAACTCGAAAAACATTCTCTATAGGTTTTGCCTTTATACATAGAGAAAAGGAGGCCAACTGTACTTGGGTGTTAAACTGTGTAAAGTCAATACTCGATAAGTGTATGCACCCAGGTGTAATAATCACAGATAGAGAGTTAGCACTCATCAATGCATGTGAAACAGTGTTTTCGGATGCGACACAACAACTTTGTAGATGGCCTATCGAGCAAAACATTTTAAAGATTTCCAACAAAATTATCATGTTGGATGAAGACCGTGACTCTTTTAGAATACTATGGAATTTACTAGTTGGGTCTCCGACATTGATGACATACATGGAAAACTACCAACAACTTCAATTAAGGTTGATAAACTATCCACGCAAGCTTGTTTATTAACTATATTTCTAAATTATAACTTTCATATTATTGTTTATGTACTTATTTGTTAATTTATTTTACTTCACAGGTGTTATGAGATACATAGATGATACATGGTTAAACAAGTACAGGGAAATGTTTGTATCTGTCTGGGTTGATCAACATCTCAATTTTGGAAACCACACCACCAATAGAGCCGAGAGTCAACATTCAAAGTTAATTTTTTTTGAACTCTGCAAATTCTAATCTCGATAAGTTCGTGCAACGGATGAATCAAGTTGTTCAATCACAACTAACTTCGATCAAAGAAAGCTTTGAAAATAGCTTGACTGTTCGCTACAATCATCACAACTTATCGTGTTTCCAATTGCTGCGGGGCCATGTTTCAGACGAAGATTTAGACATAATATTAGGAGAGGTTCAAAGGTTGGGTGATTTAATGTTAGACTCCTCAAATTGTGGTTGCAAACTACGTAACAGTTGTGGGTTACCATGTGCATGCCTGCTTTCTTTCTACTCGATTTCAGGTTAGTATGTTCAACTACCAACTTACAAATAGACTTTTAAATATTAGATAAATAATTATTTTATATTTCAATACAGGTGAAAGTATACCCTTGGATTCAATAGATTTTTTTTGGAGGAAGCTTGATATTTCAGATACGACATCTATAGTTGACGAATATATTAATTGCGATGATGTAGTGGATAAATATAAAGAAAACTTCAACAAACAATCAAAAGCCGGGAAAATGTTTTATAGGAGAAAGTTAGAAGAGATATATGATCTGCATAAAACTGATGTTGGAGAACCTACGATTCAAAAAAACACACGTGGACGACCAAGTGTGAAGAAACAACAGAAAAAGAAAGTCAATCCTCCAAATCATGTTCCTTGTAGATGCAGCTTCTCAACCACATCGGAGTTTAATGGGATGGATTTGAATAAAGAACCTGAAAGACATAAATTTTCGTGTGGGATTGACTTAAATGATGAACCCCAAAGGCATTATCCATTCCAAATGAATGGTATTCCAGATATATTTCATGATTACATCGACGATATACATGATGTAGAAGGTGATGGAAATTATGGGTTTCGAGCGGTAGTTGTTTGTTTGGGGTATAATGAAGACCAATGGCTTTATATTCGAAAACAATTGCTTAAAGAGTTAGAGAGTCAATATTACGCATACCATAGAGTTTTTACTAACGGGTTCAATGAGGTATACCGGTCATTATGTTGGTTTCAGTCACCTGCACCTTTCCGGCGACATTGGTTGCATATGCCTTTGACTGGTTACTTGATTGCCAACAAGTTTGGTGTAATCGTTCATTGTTTAAGCCACAAAAAATCTACGACATGCTTCCCTCTTTGGAGATGTCTCGAAGAGTTTCAACCCCATCAAGCCATTACGTTGGTACTTGTAAACGATATTCATTATATGTCTATGTTTTTGAAAGGAAATTACCCAATACCTCCTACCACAACATATTGGAATGCCCATAGAAGTCTGTCTGCATCTACATGGCAAACTATGTATTGACAGTGTTTTGATTTATACAATCAACTTAGGTCTTGTACTTCTGAAACACATTGGATACATATTAAAAACTAAGTGAGAATGTATTTGAACCTTTTTTACTATTTTTTGCATAAAATATTATTTTATATTTGAACTTTTTTATTATTTGTTGCGTTAAAATATTATTTTATTATTGTTGTGTCGTGTTTTAACTTTTTTTTTTTAAAAAAAATTGAATAAAAATATTTACATATATTTTATAAAAATAGTATTATAAATAATCTATTTAATAAATGAAATAAATAATATTTTAGTAAAATAATATTACATCGACGATAACATATTTTATAGTAAGCTCATACAAATAAGTTGTATATATTATTATGTATATATTTTGTAAGCTTAATAAAAATAAGAGTGCTAGAATTGAAATAAAAATAATATCTTAAAAAAACTATTAATAATAATAATTATGTAATCATAATTTAATTAGTAATGATTAGTAAAGAAAAGTAAAATAATTAGTAAAAACAATGATTAAAAAATGATTAGAGGGCAGAGATAAGTGATAAAGGGGTAAGAATAAATGAAAGCCTAGTTTTATCTTTTCCACATATTGGGTATAGTTTGGTTCGCTTGCTACTTGTCCTGTACATGTGTGCCAATTTTGGTCCCTACAAGGAGCTGATACATGTTTCTAGAATTCTTCAAAAAATCACTTCCTACCGCTTTTGTTTTGCTTCCCACTTGCATCTCCTATTACAACACGTATTACCCCCTTCACAATCCCAGAGGCAGAAGTTGACGTTCATCGCCTTTCGCCACCGCCACCACTATCACCACCACCACCACCATGTTGATGACTAATCTGCTTCTTCCATAATCGGTAATTTGATACAACAGGTTATTTTAATTACATCTTCTACCTTTTGTTTCTTCTTTTTGATGCGAAGGTCCAATTGAACAGCCACCACCAGCAGCACTAATGTTTCTCGATTTTCAGTTACATCAATTATCGATTTTGCTTGTGAGTGTCGCCACCATGAACTTTTGGGATTGCTTCTGCTTTCTTCTTTACGTACGTTGTGGTCGAAATCGATCTTGCATATACATCTTTTTTAATTTCTCTTGATTTATTACATTTGGCTTAGTGATTTTTTAGGGTTTATTTGTGTGGACGTTGCTGATGTTAACAGAGAAAACACATCAAATCTATACTCGAGGCTTCTCTACTAACTCAAAATAGCATCTATCAATTCAAGCCGTCCCATCTTACTCCACTAACCTAGATATAACTGAAGAATCAGCTTTGATGAATGTGAGTTTGCAAGAAATTACAATTTATGGAAACTTGAGAACTTTAATTTTGGTATAGTTTCTTGAAATTGTCGTTACTCTCTCAAGAATTATGTTCTTAATAGCTTCTACAATGTTGGTTAAAATTTGCGGATTGCTTTTGGCTTGTGATTGTTTTTCCTTTATTTGTAGGTTGTTTAACTTTCTCACACTGATATACATTAGTGAGCTTTCTTTCCATATCCCAAGATTTATGCGTTCCATCACTACTAGAAAATTTGTGCAATAGCTACAGCACAATCTGTAGCTATTCCGTAGCTATAAGCGGATAGCTACGGAATTGCTACGGAAAATTGGTTGTAGCATAATGGCCCGTGGCTAAATTATAGCTACGGATTAGCTACAAAATCGCTACGGAATAACTATGGAATTTTCCGTAGCTACTATAAATACGGAATAGCTACAGAAATAAATAGTTACGAATTTCCTACATAATAGTTATGGAACTAGATAGCTACGAAACTAAATAGCTACAGAATAACTACGAATCCAAATAGCTACGGAACTAAATAGCTACGGAACTAAATAGCTACGAAATTAAATAGCTACGAAAATCCGTAGCTATTCCGTAGCTAACTTTGTTTTATTTAAAAGAAAATTTTAATTTAAAATTTTCCAATTTTTTTGTCAAATACCACATTCAATTCATATTTGTCCCAAATACCATATAAAATACACCAAAAAACGTCCCTAATACCAAGTTTTGACGATTCCATTGCATTATCCAAAATATCTTACAAAAGTAAGCAGTACTTAACAAAACAAACAATATCAAATGTTTACAAATTCAATTGTTCCAAAATACTTATCAATTGTCCTCAGGTAGATTATCGGGAGGAGCACGGGGTTGATTTCCAAACATATTCATCATCCTCATAACCATTTCCATTTGTTCTTCCATTTGTTGTTGTTGTTGTTCCATGGTAGAAACTTGTGCACGCAATCTATCAACCTAAAAAAATGGCAACACAATGCAATAGTTAAACAATATTAGCAATGTACTTTAGTTTATTATAACAATGCATTTTTGTTTATAATACTTATAGCAATATACTTAACTTTTAACAATAATAACAATGCACTTATGTTTATAATCAATTTAATCAATATTATCAACAAACTATCTAACTTTTAACCATAATAGCAACGTACTTTTGTTTATTATGAATTTAATCAATATTATCAACAAACTACCAAACTTTTAACCATAATAGCAACATATTTTTGTTTATTATTAACTTAATCAATATTATCAACAAAATAATTACCGTTTAAACCATAAAAACATACCTCATGATGTGTACTATCCGATTGGGTGGATTGGATGGATTAGGAAGACGGTGTCCCAATAATCACAAAATGTATATCTGATGCTCCTATGCAATAGATATCACCCTTCTTCTTTCCTTTTCTCCTAATTTAGGTTTCCTCCTATACCCTCGCATCATCTTTATGGTTTGAAGACTCTTCTCCATGTTTTTTGACCATCTCCTGTAGATATGCCTCCTATAAATTACCAAAACAGTATCATTGTCGTGTAAAAAAGATACTAAGACAATCAATATACATAAATGATAAAAGATAAGTTACTTGTGCTTCTTTGGCAGTTAGTGAGCAATATTCGATATTTTCATGATCTCCTGCAAAATATCTTTTTTGCGCCTTAGCTGTGCCATGTGTCTTCATGAAAACATCAAATTGTGTGGGTGGTTTACCCATCATCTTTTCCTACATAAAATACAAAGTATAGCTGATGTAGTTAGTATTAAAAAAATAAGATAATAAAATTTATAATTATGATACTTAATAAGTTGTTACGGTGCTCGTCAAATCCTATACTACCCGCATTGTGCCTAGCTGTCGACCCATTAGCATCTGCAACTTTGCGGTTCTGCTGAGCAATTTTTGAATTCTTTCTCCACTTATCTGTCGACTAATGCTATGAAAAGAAAAAAAATATAAGTATACTAATACAATAGGAAATTAAAACTCAACAAAATAGATAATAAAGTATCATATCCATTACATCACACAAACGTAGCCACACATTCTCCGGTACACGCTCGGGGCAGTAGTTATGCATCCCTTCGTAGTAGGTACAATGACCTGGGGGGACGGGTTTCCCATCATTTCATGCCATTTCCCCAGATTTAATCCTAATACGCTTCATCCGGTCACTGTATCTATCCTTGAGGACACACTTGAAGGCATCAAATATGTTACTATTCTATCCTTGAGGACACACTTGAAGGCATCAAATTCAACCAAAATTTAACCTAAATCTTTAAATTCGACATCACATTCAACAAAACATATTAGCATTATCGATGAATAAAGCATCTAATTGTATACATGAAGTAATTTAAAAAAAACTAGGGTTTTGCCCTTTTGGGGAAGAATCGAGCAAAGAGGCCGAGAGAGAGGAGGGAAGATGCACCGGAGAAGAAGGTGGGTTGGGAGCGACGGTCGGCGAGGGCGGCGAGGGCAATGTCGACGTCGAAGAGGCTACCGACGATTGACGAACGAGAGGGAAGAAGTCGCGTTCACTGTTTCTTTTCTATCTGTTACGTTCGTCGAGTGATGAAGAAGGTAAATAGCGTCAGGGGTATTCAATAATAGGTAAATATGATGGATTTTAATTAAAAAATAGCTACCGATTTGCTACAGCCCAGCTTCAGAATCTGCTACGGATTAGCTATGGACGAGCTTTAGTGACGGTTTAGCTACGTATTAGCTACGGCCAGCAAAAAAAATGGGGGTGGGATTTGAACTCAGGTTGCCTGCATACATTACCACAAACTTACCAATCGACCGGGCATGCCACATCCATGCCAACATGGCCGACTATTCTATTTAAACACCTTCTCATGATTATTATTATTATTATTATTATTATTATTATTATTATTATTATTAATATTTCTATTATTATTATTAATATTTCTATTATTATTATTATTATTATTATTATTATTATTATTATTATTATTATTATTATTATTATTATTATTATTTATTATTATTATTATTTCTGTTATTATTATTAATATTTCGGGTACCAGACGTCGTTTTTTTCGCTTCGTTTTTTTCACACCTGTAGTATTATACATGATTATCTATATTTTCACCAACATATAACTATTAATATCATTCATAAAGTCATTTGCGCAAACGGGATTCATTACTCGTTTAATGGTTTAAAACTATAATGCTTATCATCTATATTCACATATAAATACTCACAAACACGTATACATACACATATACACATACATATATACCACAACTTATTCATGTATACAAACATAAACCAATCACAAGATGGTGAAAAATATAGTCATTATATTTTTAAATTGTGCAACAAGTATTTGATCCCGAAGGTGCACACAACTTTATGAATGATATTAATAGTTATAAGTTGGTGAAAATATAGATAATATGTATAATCAACAACTTATAGCTATTAATATCATTCATAAAATCGTATGCACATATAGGATCCATTACTCGTGTAATGGTTTAAAACTATAATGCTTATCATCTACATTCACATACATTTAGACACATACACACATAGATACACATAAACATACACATACACATAAACATTCAAATACACACACATACACATATGTACTTACATACACATTCATATATACATACATGCATACACATACACATACACATAAACATACACATACACATACATATACATACACACATACACATACACATACACATTTACATACACACCTACATTCACATCCATACACATACATGCGTACATAAATTAATAAATACACATACACATACATATTTTCCTTGATTATAATCATTTTTCATTATTTATAAATTAAACATAGATTATTTCATCTTATTGATCTTGTTGATGTGTTGAACGTAGTTTTTTTTCGTTTAATCATTTGTTTGTGTGTTAAGCACATTTGTTACAATTGTTATATATTATTGTGATGTTTATAAATATTATTATTATTAGTATGATGTTTAATTATTCGTATCTTACATATGTAAGAAAAAATGATCCAAAAAAATTTTAAGAGTAGAATAATGAAAAAAAATAATAATGGGAATAGTAATAATAATAATAATGGAAATTATAAATCCGTCGCTATTTCGTAGCTATTCTGTAGCTATTTTATTCTATTGGTAGTCTGTAGGTATTTCGTAGCCATTCTGTAGCTAATGAACTACGAAATAGCTACGGATTGACATCCGTAGCTATTCCGTAGCTAATGGGCTACGGAATAGCTACGGATTCACATCCGTAGCTATTCTGTAGCTATTTCGTTGCTAAATTAGGACGTTCAATTCTGTGGCTGACCCGTAGCCATTCCGTAGCTATTTTCTGTAGGAAAACCCCAATGTTTCCTAGTAGTGCATGTTTATAAAATTTATAAAATAAACTTATTTAAAACAAACAAAAACGGGTAGATCAACATAGAAACTAATGCAAATTATAAAAGAGAGTTTTCGTAAAATTAGCTTGTTGAATCTTTGACAATTCCTTTATTAAAAGATGATGTATGTAAACTCATGCACATCCATATTTTACTTACATTATTTTCTTGTGATGACCTTTTGATGTATATTTGTAGGAATCAGAAAATAACCTAAGCAAACAAGTGAAATTACGGTTTGATGGGCTTGTGCTTAAAGAAAAGCTATGGCTTTTAAGAGGGTTCTATTTCGTGCTACAATGATGATGTGTTTTTACAACACGCTCTGTTGAAGAACCCGTGGTTGATTCTACTTCATTTATTGTCCTTTTAGGTATCTACTAGTATATGTGAGTTGAAGATGGCAATAAAGGCTGGACTTTTGCACCGATGCACTTTGTTATAAAAAATTGGATAAAAACACGAACTTTGGAGTCAAGTGGTATTATTATTATTATTATTATTATTATTATTGTTATTATTATTATTATTAAATCGATTGTTAATTATGCTTAAACGCCTATGCGTTCTTAACAGTCTCTAAAATTCCTTTCTTTTGATGTGACAAAGTAAGGAAGGAGAAAGCTACTTATTACATTATAAACATGCTCACTATTGATTTCACAAAAGAGTGTCTTGTGGATGAAGGGTGGAGTCATGTATATGCAACCAAAGAAGTCTATTCAAGTGCAATTTTATGTTAAATATTATAAAAACCAACAATTCTTCTACAATCCATTCATTTTGATTATTATTATTATTTTTTTTACAGAACTTCTTTTCTATTTAAAAAAAATAGAAAAACCCAACCATCCTTAGTTTGAGAAGACAACAAAAACCTTATTTGCGTTCTCATTTTTGTGGAATTTCAAATGTTCACACACCGGTTAGCATTTGCATAAACCATCTCTTCATGTTACTTGATTCTAAAGGGAAAAAATGCCTGATATAGAAAACCATTTATACTTTCACTCTTTCAACAATTTAGACTCTCAATCTTTTATGCACTAATTAAACATATATATATTTTTTATACCATTTAAAAGTATCGATTTCCTAGATATCTTGTTTAATAGAAAGAGAAATGGAAAACGCACAACAGACTTTAGTAAAAGCGCATTTTCACTAACCTTGGGAAGCATCAAAGCCATAGTGGAGATCAATATGCTTTAAAAGGATGCCAAGAAGCATGGCCCCATAACATTTGGCACTAATATTGTGAATCTACGTGCTTATATTTAAGAAATATGTATGTCAAAATCAAACCTTCTAACCTTAACAGACTTTAGAAGCAGCACAACTACAGGAAAACGGTGATATTGAGCAAGAATTGTAGTAAAGTAGTTTAAAAAAAACTATTTCATGTATCATGTATTATGAAGAAATTGAGCAAGAATTGTACACTATGGGTATAAGCCTGTAAACTACAACCTTTCCTTTAGATGAAAATGTGAACCGTTGAAAATCACCCACTACCTGAGTACATGTCAATATGGTTCCATCACCATCTATTATGGTTCCAAAACCGAAGATTTTTCCCACTGTTAACCCTTGGAAACCTTCAGAAAAAACTATCATTTATTTAATAAAAATGTCACCATAAACTCGTGAAGTTGTTTTTATAATTTCATATATTCTTGAAACAAAGCTTTTGGATCTGAAAGATTGACAACTGGGCGAACTCTAGCAGCTACATTTGCAATTGTATCCCTGCCAAGACATCCACAATAGGGATTTTGGGATTCAATGGTGTCTTTAAAGGGAGACCTTTTATTTACACCACGTACAAACGTTTGTGCTAACACTAAAAAGAAAGGACTCTTTTCAAAAAAAAAAATGAAAGAAAGGGGGTGTCCTATGAGAACATGATAAAGTCTATTTCCAGATGACTAATCTCCTAAGAACATAACAGGAAAAGGAGAGCAACTTTGGAACAATTTTTCTGATTTCATTTGTAACCCAAAACAATTGATTACAAGCAACTTAAATATGCAACTTGATCCTAAAATTAAGCTGGAAATGGGAACATGCAGGAAATGGAAGACATGGACTAAAACAACTACTCTTGACCGAGAAATAATGAAAACGTGGACTCTGTCTAAATGCATGCATAATGGAAATAAGAATCAGTCAACTAAATAAATGTCTTTGTATCAATACTCCGCCCCTAAAAAATGGCCTTGTCCTCAAGGCCAAAGTCATTTTGCTGCAGGTACGACCATGATGGATCGTTGTCTGATTGAAGAAGGAGGAACTTGGGTGGGT